GGTTCTCCGGCTGCTCAAGCCTGATGGAGCCGGCCTGCTCCCTGCTCCGATGACCCCATGAGGTTGTTTTCTGTTTGTTTTCTTTGTTTCCTGTTTCTGTGTGTTGCCCGCTTGCCTGCAGGTCTCGCGGCTCCTTGCTCCCTCATGCAAATCTACCGAGCTGCACGCTGGAATTCCCAGATCTGGCGGCCGTCGCCCAGATCTGGTCTTCGCCTGCACAGTTTCTCGCCTCGGCGTCCTGGAGTCTAGATGCAACCTCTAGATGGGTAGATAGAAGGGTGTCCCGCTGGATCGCTCAACCGAAGGCAACCTTGGTCCTTCGTGGTTTTAGATTATTTTCTCTTCTTTGCTGCTGCATTGTCGTCTTCACCGTCGTCTTCGTCGTCGTCGTCGTCTTCGTCGTCGTCGTCGTCTTCGCCGTCTTCGCCGTCTTCGTCGTCGTCGTCTTCGCCATCTTCGTCGTCGTCGTCTTCGCCGTCTTCGCCGTCTTCGTCGTCGTCATCGTCTTCGCCGTCGTTGACATCAACAATTCTTCCGCAACAGAAGCAGGAGTCACCTTTGTGTGAACCCAGTTCTGGGTTTCGTGAGGAACCCAGGAACCCCCCAGTTTTGGGTTCCTGGGTTCCTCGAAGAACCTAGGTTCTGGGTTTCACGAGGAACCCTTGAAGAACCCAGTTTCTGGGTTCCTCGCAGAACAAACCCCAGTATTTCTTCCAGAAATTGTGCTTTGCTCTGTTTCTTTAACTTCTTGCTTTGTTTGGTTGCTGAGAAAATATTTCTGATCCCTTTTTGTTTTTGTTTGGTTGCTGAGAAAATTTTGCTTTGTTTGTTTTTGTTTGGTTGCTGAGAAAATTTTGCTTTCTTTGATTTTGTTTGGCCTTCGGGAACTAAACTGAAACTAGAAAAGGAAAACAATTTTTCATGTAGGCCCCACAAAAATTGAATCTGAAAAGAGGGAGCAATTTGACGTGGAAAAAACATGCCACCGTAGCAAAATTTTGTTCGCTGGATTTACACATCATTAAAATTCAAAAAAAGCAGTGATTTTGCTGGCAAGTTAACGTGACACTTGTCATTTAACTGACGGAAGGATCATTTTGGTACCAAAAATGAAAGTTTAAGGATAATTTTGGTACTTTTTAAAGGTGAGGGACAATTTTGGTACCAAAGTGTAAAGTTGAGGGACTAAAATGGTACTTAAACCTATGATTTTTGTAATTTGACCTCTAACTATAAATTATTTCAATTGAGTCCCCTTTCTTGAATTTCTTTTTCAATCTTTTCTTGAAATTTTCTTTTTGCATGTAGCACCTGGAACAAAATAAAGATACATTAGATGAAAAAAGAGGAAAATTCATATTTTTATATTTTTGTGTTTATTTTGACATTTTATAAATTTTTATGATTTTTGATTAATTTTTTTATTTTTATATATTTTTATTTTTATTTTTCTTTATGAAAGT